TAGCTTCACCCGGCTCTAGTCTAGTTGCTACACCCGGCTCTTATCTACTAGCTACACCCAACTCTTGTCCAGTAGCTACACCCAGCTCTTGTCTAGTAGCTACACCCGGCTCTAGTCTAGTAGCTTCACCCAGCTCTTATCTAGTAGCTACACCCAGCTCTTGTCTAGTAGCTACACCCGGCTCTTGTCTAGAAGATACACCCGGCTCTTTTCCAGTAGCTTCACCCGGCTCTTGTCTAGAAGATACACCCAGCTATTGTTTAGAAGCTACACCCGGCTATTGTCTAGTAGCTACACCCAGCTCTTGTCCAGAATCTACACCCGGCTCTTGTCTAGAAGATACACCCGGCTATTGTTTAGAAGCTACACCCAGCTCTTTTCTTGAAGGTACACCCTGCTCTTGTCTAGTAGCTACACCCGGCTCTTGTCCAGTAGCTACACCCGGCTGTTGTCCATTAGCTACACCCATCTCTTGTCTAGTAGCTACACCCGGCTCTTGTCTAGTAGCTACACCCGGCTCTTGTCCAGTAGCTACACCCGGCTCTTGTCCAGTAGCTACACCCGGCTCTTGTCCAGTAGCTACACCCGGCTCTTGTCCAGTAGCTTCACCCGGCTCTAGTCTAGTTGCTACACCCGGCTCTTATCTAGTAGCTACACCCGGCTCTTATCTAGTAGCTACACCCGGCTCTTGTCTAGTAGCTACACCCGGCTCTTGTCTAGTAGCTTCACCCAGCTCTTGTCTAGTAGCTACACCCGGCTCTTGTCCAGTAGCTTCACCCGGCTCTAGTCTAGTAGCTACACCTGGCTCTAGTCTAGTAGCTTCACCCAGCTATTATCTAGTAGCTACACCCAGCTCTTGTCTAGTAGCTACACCCGGCTCTTGTCTAGTAGCTACACCCAACTCTTGTCCAGTAGCTACACCCAGCTCTTGTCTAGTAGCTACACCCGGCTCTTGTCCAGTAGCTACACCCAGCTCTTGTCTAGTAGCTACACCCGGCTCTTGTCCAGTAGCTTCACCCGGCTCTAGTCTAGTTGCTACACCCGGCTCTTATCTAGTAGCTACACCCAACTCTTGTCCAGTAGCTACACCCAGCTCTTGTCTAGTAGCTACACCCGGCTCTAGTCTAGTAGCTTCAGCCAGCTCTTATCTAGTAGCTACACCCAGCTCTTGTCTAGTAGCTACACCCGGCTCTTGTCCAGTAGCTTCACCCGGCTCTTGTCTAGAAGATGCACCCAGCTATTGTTTAGAAGCTACACCCGGCTATTGTCTAGTAGCTACACCCAGCGCTTGGCCAGAATCTACACCCGGCTCTTGTCTAGAAGATACACCCGGCTATTGGTTAGAAGCTAAACCCGGCTCTTTTCTTGAAGTTACACCCTGCTCTTGTCTAGTAGCTACACCCGGCTCTTGTCCAGTAGCTACACCCGGCTCTTGTCCAGTAGCTACACCCGGCTCTTGTCTAGTAGCTACACCCGGCTCTTGTACAGTAGCTACACCCGGCTCTTGTCCAGAAGCTACACCCGGCTCTTGTCCAGTAGCTACACCCGGCTCTTGTCCAGTAGCTTCACCCGGCTCTAGTCTAGTAGCTACACCCGGCTCTAGTCTAGTAGCTTCACCCAGCTCTTATCTAGTAGCTACACCCAGCTCTTGTCTAGTAGCTACACCCGGCTCTTGTCTAGTAGCTACACCCAGCTCTTGTCCAGAAGCTACACCCGGCTCTTTTCTTGAAGTTACACCCGGCTCTTGTCTAGTAGCTACACCCAACTCTTGTCCAGTAGCTACACCCAGCTCTTGTCTAGTAGCTACACCCGGCTCTTGTCCAGTAGCTACACCCAGCTCTTGTCTAGTAGCTACACCCGGCTCTTGTCCAGTAGCTACACCCGGCTCTTGTCCAGTAGCTTCACCCGGCTCTAGTCTAGTTGCTACACCCGGCTCTTATCTAGTAGCTACACCCAACTCTTGTCCAGTAGCTACACCCAGCTCTTGTCTAGTAGCTACACTCGGCTCTAGTCTAGTAGCTTCACCCAGCTCTTATCTAGTAGCTACACCCAGCTCTTGTCTAGTAGCTACACCCGGCTCTTGTCTAGTAGCTACACCCAGCTCTTGTCTAATAGCTACACCCAGCTCTTGTCTAGTAACTACTCCCGGCTCTTGTCTAGTAGCTACACCCGGCTCTTGTCCAGTAGCTTCACCCGGCTCTAGTCTAGTAGCTACACCCGGCTCTAGTCTAGTAGCTTCACCCAGCTCTTATCTAGTAGCTACACCCAGCTCTTGTCTAGTAGCTACACCCGGCTCTTGTCTAGTAGCTACACCTAGCTCTTGTCCAGAAGCTACACCCGGCTCTTTTCTTGAAGTTACACCCGGCTCTTGTCTAGTAGCTACACCCAGCTCTTGTCTAGTAGCTACACCCGGCTCTTGTCCAGTAGCTACACCCAGCTCTTGTCTAGTAGCTACACCCGGCTCTTGTCCAGTAGCTACACCCGGCTCTTGTCCAGTAGCTTCACCCGGCTCTAGTCTAGTTGCTACACCCGGCTCTTATCTACTAGCTACACCCAACTCTTGTCCAGTAGCTACACCCAGCTCTTGTCTAGTAGCTACACCCGGCTCTAGTCTAGTAGCTTCACCCAGCTCTTATCTAGTAGCTACACCCAGCTCTTGTCTAGTAGCTACACCCGGCTCTTGTCTAGTAGCTACACCCAGCTCTTGTCTAATAGCTACACCCAGCTCTTGTCTAGTAGCTACTCCCGGCTCTTGTCTAGTAGCTACACCCGGCTCTTGTCCAGTAGCTTCACCCGGCTCTTGTCTAGAAGATACACCCAGCTATTGTTTAGAAGCTACACCCGGCTATTGTCTAGTAGCTACACCCAGCGCTTGGCCAGAATCTACACCCGGCTCTTGTCTAGAAGATACACCCGGCTATTGTTTAGAAGCTAAACCCGGCTCTTTTCTTGAAGTTACACCCTGCTCTTGTCTAGTAGCTACACCCGGCTCTTGTCCAGTAGCTACACCCGGCTCTTGTCCATTAGCTACACCCGGCTCTTGTCTAGAAGATACACCCGGCTCTTGTCCAGTAGCCACACCCGGCTCTTGTTCAGTAGCTACACCCGGCTCTTGTCTTGTAGCTACACCCGGCTCTTGTTCAGTAGCTACACCCGGCTCTTGTTCAGTAGCTACACCCGGCTCTTGTCTTGTAGCTACACCCGGCTCTTGTCGAGTAGCTACACCCGGCTCTTGTTCAGTAGCTACACCCGGCTCTTGTCTTGTAGCTACACCCGGCTCTTGTCCAGTAGCTTCACCTGGCTCTAGTCTAGTTGCTACACCCGGCTCTTATCTAGTTGCTACACCCGGCTCTTGTCTAGTAGCTTCACCCAGCTCTTGTCTAGTAGCTACACCCAGCTCTTGTCCAGTAGCTACACCCGGCTCTTGTCCAGTAGCTACACCCGGCTCTTGTCTAGTAGCTACACCCGGCTCTTGTCCAGTAGCTACACCCGGCTCTTGCCTAGTAGCTACACCCGGCTCTTGTCCAGTAGCTACACCCGGCTCTTGTCTAGTAGCTACACCCGGCTCTAGTCTAGTAGCTACACCCGGCTCTTGTCCAGTAGCTACACCCGGCTCTAGTCTAGTTGCTACACCCGGCTCTTATCTAGTAGCTACACCCGGCTCTTGTCTAGTAGCTACACCCGGCTCTTGTCTAGTAGCTTCACCCAGCTCTTGTCCAGTAGCTACACCCGTCTCTTGTCTAGTAGCTACACCCGGCTCTTGTCCAGTAGCTTCACCCGGCTCTTGTCTAGAAGATACACCCGGCTATTGTTTAGAAGCTACACCCGGCTCTTTTCTTGAAGTTACACCCGGCTCTTGTCTAGTAGCTACACCCAACTCTTGTCCAGTAGCTACACCCAGCTCTTGTCCAGTAGCTACACCCAGCTCTTGTCCAGTAGCTGCACCCGGCTCTTGTCCAGAAGCTACACCCGGCTCTTGTCCAGTAGCTACACCCGGCTCTTGTCCAGTAGCTTCACCCGGCTCTAGTCTAGTAGCTACACCCGGCTCTAGTCTAGTAGCTACACCCGGCTCTTGTCTAGAAGATACACCCGGCTCTTGTTTAGTAGCTTCACCCGGCTCTTGTCTAGAAGATACACCCAGCTATTGTTTAGAAGCTACACCCGGCTATTGTCTAGTAGCTACACCCAGCTCTTGTCCAGAATCTACACCCGGCTCTTGTCTAGAAGATACACCCGGCTATTGTTTAGAAGCTATACCCGGCTCTTTTCTTGAAGTTACACCCTGCTCTTGTCTAGTAGCTACACCCGGCTCTTGTCCAGTAGCTACACCCGGCTCTTGTCCATTAGCTTCACCCGGCTCTTGTCTAGTAGCTACACCCGGCTCTTGTCTAGTAGCTACACCCGGCTCTTGTCCAGTAGCTACACCCGGCTCTTGTCCAGTAGCTACACCTGGCTCTTGTCCAGTAGCTTCACCCGGCTCTTGTCTAGTTGCTACACCCGGCTCTTATCTAGTTGCTACACCCGGCTCTTATCTAGTAGCTACACCCGGCTCTTGTCTAGTAGCTACACCCGCCTCTTGTCTAGTAGCTTCACCCATCTCTTGTCTAGTAGCTACACCCGGCTCTTGTCTAGTAGCTACACCCGGCTCTTGTTCAGTAGCTACACCCAGCTCTTGTCTAGTAGCTTCACCCGGCTCTTGTCTAGTAGCTACACCCGCTCTTGTCCAGTAGCTATGCCCCAGATTTATGAGCCCCATGCCCTCCGCACGTGAGGCCGTGGCCTCGCTACGCAAGCGTTGTAATTAACGGTGCCAGTTGCACGCACGACCATCAGTCCCGATTCCCTACATCGCGTCTCATGTGGAGCGGCAGAGTAGCCAACTAGGGGATGGGGGCGAGTTTAACATCAGGGGTCATGTGGGACCCACCATTTTGTGCCAGTGACATATCACACGTGTGTCATACCACTTTGGGAGTGGGATTACAGTGACATCATTATTGTGCCATGATAACGTGAGAGACAATCACGTTTTTTTTTTTATTAAAGATGCTTTAGACTTGTGTGCTCGACACAGCTACAAGAGCTGCCCGTCTTTCAGTGCCTCGAATCACGGCACTCTTCCATACACCCCTCCCCTTATCGCAAGGGGGATCCGACTTGACCGCTATTGTGAACCCCATATCTCACAGGATCGCTGGGGTCTAAGAGTCGGACTTCAGGTGGTCTGGCATACCTTTTGACCCTCAATAAATCGCAATGATCGATAATAAATTAATTAATTACTACATAACCAACAAAGAGGGCTCACAGTGGGGGATTAAAAACAGGGTCCCCACACATTGGGGTCAGTGAGTCCCGGGGGGACCCAGGCCCCCCCAGCATAATTTTTCACTGAATGTTTTTTAGGTTACTGGTAAACTGAAGTCGTCATGCAACTGACCAGTCCTAGCCACGGCCGAAGTGAGAGGCAAACTGGATGTCATGTTCTGGGCAAGTAAATGTTTTCTGGGTCGCCAAACCCCCCAGGGGGCCCCAATGGAGGAGGTGCTGACCTTGCTAGGGTCTCAGCCCAGAGTAGTCTCAATTTTGCTAGGATAGTCCTGGTAGTCTCATAATCGTAGTCTCATAATGGCCATGTTCTGGCCTCGTGCCAGATTCATGACCACTCAGACGAAGGGCGGAGTTGCCTGAGTAGTGGGCGGAGTTACCTTAGTGGGCGGAGTTACCTGAGCAGTGGACAGAGCGACGCGAGCAGTGGGTGGAGCTACCTGAGTAGTGGGCGGAGTTACCTGAGTAGTGGGCAGTTACCTGAGCAGTGGACAGAGCAACCGGAGCAGTGGGTGGAGCTACCCGAGTAGTGGGCGGAGTTACCTGAGCAGTGGACAGAGCGACACGAGCAGTGGGTGGAGTTACCTGAGTAGTGGGCGGAGTTACCTGAGCAGTGGACAGAGCGACCCGAGCAGTGGGTGGAGCTACCTGAGTATTGGGCGGGGTTATCCGAGTCGTGAGTGGGCTAGTGGTTGAGTGGGCATGGCTATGTAAATGTGAGCAGGAGCTGACAGAGGAAGATCGGGGGCTGCCAGCTCACCCCCTTGTGTCCTGGTTGAGTTTCACAGATACATGGCAGCCTTACACCAAAACCTCCTGGGTCCGTGAGTCCACAGCTCCTCCTGAACAGCTCGCGGATGAGACCAGATTTGGTCAAGTTTAGGCTTGAGTCCAGGTCTCCCTGAGTGAGTCCCTCTGTCACCGTTACACAAATGCCTGACCCCCCTGGGTTCCCTCAGGGGTCTCCTCGAGGATCTGAGTCTAACATTGGTGTTTGTGTTGTGGGGTGGGAGTGGAGTAGGCGGGTCCGGGGTTTGGGCTTAGGGGGTGATTGGTTTGGGGGGGTGTGAATGTGGTCACTTTTGGAGTCGAAGCTGGAGTCAGGGGCAATTGTGGGGTCAGGATCGAGATTGGGGTCATTATTGGAATGGAGGTCAGGATTGGGGTCAGAGAATAGGTTAGGGTCAGTGTTTGGGTCGAGGTCGAGGCCAGGTGAAGGGTCGCCCCTGTGCCGCTGGATGGGAGTGATGAGGGCGCACGGGACACGACGGAGATGTGGCCGTGGCGGACACCCGTTTGGGGACACGGGTCGCTCCCCTTCCTCCCCCTCCTCATCTTCTCTTTGCTCCTCTTCTTCATCATCACACCCTCCTCCTCCTCCTCTCTGCTTCTCATTGTTTCTCACTTCCAAAGAGGTGCCAGGATGTGGGTCTTCTTGCCCATCGTCCCCCTCCTTCTCATAGCCTCCTCCACCTCCTTCTCCACATCCTCCTTCACCTTCTCCACCTCCTCCTCCCTCCTCTACCCGTGTACGGGGGGCCCCTCCCTCCACGCCGGCCACAGGGCCCTGACCCCGCTTGGGGTTGGCACCGGGGACCCCCTTGGGCCGCATCTCGGGGGTAGCATCCGGCGTGGGGAGCCCCAGCAGCAGCAGCTGACGCAGGGGCCCCGCGGCGGGGGGAGTCCAGGGCGAGCCGGGGTCCGGCCGGGGTTCTTCTAGAGAACCTTGGGGCCCATTCTCGGGGGTTCCCCCCCCACCTCCTTGACGTCTCCACAACCGGAGCCGCTCCCCCCAGGGGCGGCTGCGGGATGGGGGGGGGCACCGGCGAGGAGGGCGGCGGCGGCGGCAATGTCGGGAGGCGACGGGCAGGGCCAGGGCGACCCCCAGGAGGAATGCGCCCAGCGAGCAAGGGACCAGCAGGGAGGCAGGGACCCTGAGGGGGGGGCCCTCCTCTCCCAGGCCCCCCGATACGCGGCGCTCCCGGATGAGACCTGCAGTGACCACGTGACACCGCCGCCCGTTAACAAAGATAGACGCTTAGTTGGGATAGTCAGCCATGCCTACGAACCGCAAGTATGTTTTACACATCCCGTCTACCACGCATGAAGGAGGCACCACATCGTTTAGTTATTGCGTTATTCATTCTCCACAATGAGAATACATTTTCTTCGACTGATTATTCTGCGTTATGAATGCAGAGATTTTAGTTGAGCCAGGGACCCATGTCTAACAGATGGGGCTTTTGCCAGTAACATCTGGCAGTTCAAGAAAGGTGGCTCTATTGATGAGGCACTGAATGTTGAAACTGGTCCAGAGAATGCTTGCACTGGGATTATGCACTCCCAGAAAGAAGGCCGTGTGGCTGGTGGAATGTGTAAAACATGCTTTTGTTTTTTGACGTGCAGTGAACCCATACAGGAAGCAGGAGGTGGTGTAGCGCCTGCTGGTTTACACGTCGGTGACCTTCACCCAGTGTGGAGTTCACGGCCACCATATGCCCGGGGCCTGTTCTGCACGTGCCGTGTCCTGGCAACTCATCGTATTCTCCAGAGCGACAAACCCCAAGGACCTGTGACTGGAACTCTGTGAACTGGACGGGGGTGCCACATGACCATGGGGGCAAACTGTGGGACACAGTGCTGTTGTTAGTTTTCATTGTTGCCCTGACACACCTCGCCATTCAGGATAAGGGACTCCCCACTGACGCCCCACTCAGTTACTTTTGGTGGTATTGGTGGGGTTAATCAAGGGGGATTTTTTTTCAGCTGAGTTTTGGTATTTTATGTGGGGTGCGCACAGGAAGGACCGTGTGGGTGGACGTGGCGGAATACTAAAGGGGGAGACCTATACCCCCATTTCCGCCACAGATGGAGCACACGGTGGCTGAGAATGCTTCAGAACCCAAATACCCCAGCCTAGAGTCCACTGTTACGCCACAAACGTAACCAAGCGATGGGCCGCTTTGTATCGATATTCTTGGGCTTCCCTGCTCCCTGTCCCACTGGATCTCCGGGCAGCAGTACACGACCCCACGTGACTCCACATAACCCCACCAATTAACACAGACACCAGACTGTCGCTTTTGGGTGCTCAAATAAGGGTCACAGGGTCACAAGAGGGGTCATGAAAGGTCACATGGTCATGTGAGGGTGGTGGAGACTGGTGCAACTGCTGACTAACCCGTCTCTGTGATGCATTCATCTGTAACACGGACACACACACACATTGAGGCATTAAACACACACAAAGGCATGAACCATTAAGAGAGAGACATATGCAAAAATATAAATAAATGTGTACACATCCCATCAGCCACCAGGGCCTTCCTTTTATGAGTGCAAAATCCGAGCAGAGTCAGGCTTGCTCAATGGTGGAGCCAGTATTTTCAGGTAAGGGGGGCAACCCCTCCAGCAATAAAAAAATGAGTTGTTAGTAAGTAAGGACTTGTCCCTTGCTTTTTAATCGACGCGTGTGTGGCGATGGCGCAGCCATCAATCGAGGGTCGAATTCGAACCGCGTTGTGTGATCGGCATCGCGCTCGCTGAAGGTGTTGATGCCTTCAGGGAAGTCGTGTACTGTATACGCAACTGCGCACAATTCTGAGTCACTTATATTTGCTTTGTCGTTACCTATTGCCAATTATGGACTCAGGCTATTGTCCTATCATCTCATAGAGTCCCTGGCACATAATATGCTACACAGTGGCAGTGGGGGTCACAAAATGCCGATTTATTACTAATAAACCCCAATGATCCGATCGAAATGAGGGATTTCGATTGGATCATTGGGGGGGGCACGTGCCACCTCCCCCCCCTCCCATCCCACTTGCTTGAACCAATGCTGGTGAATTGCCAGATGCTTATCAGCAAAGATCCTCTCCGTTAGATGTGGGTCCGAGTTGGACGCAAAGCTATACAATATAGCAATTACATGTTATATAAAACAATGATGTGATGTGGTTATAATCAGCATCAGCCATGATCAATCCACCCCTAGATGAAGGCCTCCCCCCAAGTATGTTTAAGGTTCTAAAGTGTGGTATCTGTGTCTGGCTGTCTCTGCGAGTCTGCTCGGGGGTAGTGCTTAGTGTGAGTCTCTGTATGGCGAGTACGCTGCACCCTCTAGCACGGTGCCCCCCTCCGATTGCCAGATGTGGGGGGAGCGAGGGAGGCGGGGGGGGCGTTCGTCCCGTGTTTGCGTTCCCCTTGTGGAGCCACACAGCAGCAGCTGCCAGTGTCACTGGGTGGGAGGGACTCCGGCGTCTACACACGCATAGAGACAATGATCCCCCGTATAGCCTCAACAGACTGCTGGGGCAAGTGCTCTTGGTGAGCAACTATGAAGGCCGGTGCGGTAAATGGGTGGGTAGGTGGCCAAAGCTGCGTCCGGCCGCCTTTGTCTCCCCAGTGCCGATGTTCACACACTGCACCAGGTGCTCATTGAGACTGAGTCGACCTCGGAGAGGCATAGAACTGGTGCAGATAATTACCACCACTATTGGTGGTGGTGAGTAGGAATGATAATCTTTGTTTATCCTAGATAAATCGAACTCGGCTAACTGGTTTTGTAGTGCAGCGCGCTAATAACACTGTACCACCATTTACCCTATAAATAGAGATAAACACAATGACGCAAATAGACACGCACACTCACATACATAGACAGAGAAATACATGGAGATACAGAGAGATACAGACACATACTCTAACACAAAGACCCCCCCATACAGCCTGAACAGACTTTTAACTTTTAGTGCAAGTGCTGTTAGCAAACACCTATAAAAGCCGGCACGGCAGATGAGGGGGTGGGTGGCCAGCACCACGCATGACCGTCTTTGTCTCCCCATTGGCGATGTTTACACACCGCACCAGGTACTCAACCTAGGGGAGGCCCAGAACTGGTTCAGATAATCGCCACTGGTGTTGGTCGTGAGCGGGTTTGTAGCACGGCGCGCTAACCGCTGCACCATTGCTCCCCAGCACACAGACACACACACACAGACACATACCCGAACACACAGACACAACAACAACAACCGCCATTCGCCACTAAGTGGCGGTGACGTCACCACGACGCTTGTGCCAGGCTATGTGCACCCTGAGGCCACGTGAAGTGTCGAACGCCCGCTGGCAGAAGGTCACAGGGCAGACCCAGGTGCCACGGGTCGACTGAGATGACTGGCTGATGCACCACCTGTGCCCCCTACTGTGCCAACCCGCTGTGCTTCAGCCACCCGGCGCTCTGCTCGTTGTTCTGAGCGTCGCTCCTCCGCCCTCCGTTGTTGTTGGAGGGTGACTATCTCCAACTGCCCAGTAGCGTCCTTCACGAGCCTCCTCCACAGAGGCCGATCTTGACACCGCTGGTACCAGTCATCGGCAAGTCCACTCAGCTCCACGTCCTCCTGTACCACATCACTCCATCTCTTCTCTAGCCCATGCCGCGCCCGCTTAGCCCCCTCAATCCGGCCGAACAAAAGCTGTTTCGGCATGCGGTGGCTGGGCATGCGGGCTACATGACCCAGCCATCGCAGCCTTCCCCGCCGGAGGAGCTCACCGATGGGACCTTGCCCAGATCTTTCAAGGATTTGTGAGCTCCTCACACAATCCAGTCTGGTTAAACCCAGGATGGATCGTAGGGAGGGAATGACCGTGGCTGAGAAGACCTGAAGCTTCGTGCGGAGCGACAGACCAGGTAGCTTCGACACAGCGTTACGCAGCCGATGAAAAGATATTGCCGCTCGACTGATTCACACACAGACACATACACTAACACACAGACACACACACATACAGGCACATACCCTAACACACAGACACACACACAGACACACGCACAGATGCACAAGTACCCTACCTGCACACTCCTCCATTCCGCTTGTGTCACCATAGGCAACATCCTGTTCAAATGCCTCCCTGGTGGGTCCAGCAACACACAAAGATAAAACAAAGATCCCCCATATAGCCTGTAACAGACTGTAGGGGCAAGTGCTGTTAGCGAGCACCTATGAAGGCCGGAACCGTACACGAGGGGGTGGGTGGCCAGCACCACGCCCGACCGCCTTTGTCTCCCTAGTGGCGATGTTTACACACCGCACCAGGTACTCATTTGAGGCTGAGTCGACCTAGGGGAGGCCCGGGACCGGTTCAGATAATCGTCACTGGTGTTGGCCGTGAGCAGGAATCGAACCCGGGTCACCAGGTTCACAGCGCAGCGTAGCGCTAACCGCTACACTATCGCTCATAGACACACATACATAAGGACATGATGTAGATGTTGGTCAGAGCTGTGATGGTATTGATGGTGATGGTGGTGCTGGATGTGATATCGATTGTGGTGATGATAAAAGTTGTGGTAGCGGTGGTGGTGATGGTAGTGGTGAGGATGGTGATGGTTAGGGTGGTGATGGAGCCCCGTCGCTGCACGACACCCCCCTCACCTGGTCTTGGGGTCCAGGCGCTGGCACGACCCCCTGACCCAGCCGCAGTAGGGGTCCCGCGCAGCCACACACGCCCTGCACACCCCCAAAGCACAGAGCCCCCCCCCCCCCCCCAAACACAACACGGAGGTCATTCTGCACTTCCTCATTCACTGCTCCCTCAGCCATCACTCACCCCTCACTCCTCCATCTCTACTCAACGCCCAGATTTCTCCTACCCATCCCATCACTGCCCCTCACTAACCAACATCCCCACATGCCCCATCACCACATGCCCATCACTGCCTTCATCACCACACGCCCCATCGCCGCCCCCATCACTGCCCCACATCGCCCCATCACCACATGTCCCATTAGCACATGCCCCATCACCACACGCTCCATCACCACAAGCCTCATCACCGCCCCATCACCACACGCCCCATCACCACAAGCCTCATCACCGCCCCATCACCACAAGCCTCATCACCGCCCCATCACCACATGCCCCATCACCACCCCATCACCACATGCCCCATCACCACCCCATCACCACAAGCCTCATCACCGCCCCATCACCACATGCCCCATCACCACCCCATCACCACAAGCCTCATCACCGCCCCATCACCACATGCCCCATCACCGCCCCATCACCGCCCCATCACCACATGCCCCATCACCGCCCCATCACCACACGCCCCATCACCACACGCCCCATCACCACAAGCCTCATCACCGCCCCATCACCACAAGCCTCATCACCACAAGCCTCATCATCACCCCATCACCACACGCCCCATCACCGCCCCATCACCTCCGGCAGGTGGCGTGGCGCTCGCAGCGGCTGAGCGGGAGCCGCACGAGGCACGAGGAGAAGGCGACGAGCAGCACGTGGGACGCAGCGTCCACGGAGAGCGCAACGATGCGCGCACCCCCAGACTCCCCGCACCTACGCACGCACCCACGCACATACATGCACACACACACATGCACACACACACACGCACACACACGCACATACATGCACACACACATGCACACACACGCACATACATGCACACACACACATGCACACACACACATGCACGCACATACATGCACACACACACATGCACACACACACACGCACACACACGCACATACATGCACACACACATGCACACACACGCACATACATGCACACACACACATGCACACACACACATGCACGCACATACATGCACACACACGCACATACATGCACACACACGCACATACATGCACACACACGCACATACATGCACACACACGCACATACATGCACATACACGCACATACATGCACACACACGCACACACATACATGCACACGCACATACATGCACGCACACGCACATACATGCACACACACACATACATGCACACACACGCACATACATGCACACACATGCACATACATGCACACACACGCACATACATGCACGCACACGCACATACATGCACACACACACATACATGCACACACACATACATGCACACACACATACATGCACACACACGCACACGCACATACATGCACGCACACGCACAAACATGCACGCACACGCACAAACATGCACGCACACGCACACATACATGCACACACATGCACACACACATCAACAACAAGAAGCGCCATTCACCACTCGGTGTCGGTGACGTTACAACAAAACGTGTGCCAGGCTGTGCACGTTGAGGCTGTCATGTGATGTGTGGAAGGCTCACGAGCAGGGGGTCATGGGACAGACCCAGGTACCATGGGTTGACTTACTGAGACGACTGACAGATACAACACCTACACTCCCCACTGTATTTTATCTCTACTGTGCTAACATTTTTCATCACGGGACCTCCCTTGCCAGTATCAAAATATAAGAATAGATTTCGATTTAAAGCTTTCGTGACTGCAGGGATTCATCTTCTTGGTTCTTTCGGTAAAGTCACGTAGAATGGAAATAAAATAATAAAAATAAAACATAAAAAATAAAAATGTTTTATTTTTATTATTTTATTTCCATTCTACGTGACTTTACCGAAAGAACCAAGAATATATGAGAATAGGTTTTACCTATTCTCATGTATTTTTCCTTGCAAAAGATTTCAGTTTGGCGTTTTAACATCTTAACACCTGTTTTATTGCGAGAAAGGGTAAAACCTATTCTTGTATTTTGCTGCATTGTAACTGCCCGGTGCTCTGCTTGTTGTTGTGTCGGTCCTCTGCCTTACGTTGTTGTTGGAGGGCAATTGCCTCCAACTTGCCCAGTAGCGTCCTTCACGAGCCTTCTCCACAAAGGCCAATCTTGACACCGCTGGTACCAGTCATTGGTAAGGCCAGTCAGCTCCATATCCTCATCAGTCCATTTCTTCTCTAGCCCATACCGAGACCATTTAGTCCGCTCTGTCCGGCCAAACAGAATCTGCATGGTCATGCGGTGGTTGGGCGTGCAGCCTACATGATCCAGCCAACACAGCCTCACCTGCCAGAGGAGCTGACAGATGATGGGACTGTGTACAGATATTTCAAGGATCCGAAAGCTCACACAGACACACAGACACAGTCAGAAGTTGTGGCCCCGTTCTGGTGTTGAGCGATGACTCTCACACTCGGGGGTTGAACGCCTCCAGCTGTTCCAGCACCACAGCCGAGCCCTCCAACTCCAGGGGGGGCAACGCCTTGATCACGTGGCCGCCCTCTGAACCCACGAACAGCACCGTCTCATTGCCGTAGGGACCCGCACTCGTATCCACGGCAACGTGGGTCAGCCTCCACCTGCGCCACGGCAATAGGTGGGTACCCAGACACACGGAGACAAATATACCCCAGGAAGCCCACACAATGTTGGGGCAAATGCTGTTAGCGAGCACTTATTAAGGCTAGCATGGCACATGAGGGGCGGTGTGGCTAGAACCACATACAGTCCCGTCATCCACACAGGAACACCGATACACCTCTACACGCCCCTGCACACCCCTATACTCCCCTACGCACCGACACCTACACACCCCTACAAACCCCTACAACAACCGCCTTTCGCCACTAAGTGGTGGTGACGTCATCACAACGCTTGTGCAAGTTGAGGCCACGTGAAGTGTCGAACGCCCGCTGGCACAAGGTCACGGGGCAGACCCAGATGCCAAGGGTCGACTGACTGAGATGACTGGCTGATGCACCACCTGTGCCCCCTACTGTGCCAACTTGCTGTGCTTTAGCTACCCGGCGCTCCGCTCGTTGTTGTGAGCATTGCTCCTCTGCCCTCCATTGTTGTTGGAGGACGACTGCCTCCAACTGCCAAGTAGCAGCATCCTTCACGAGCCTCCTCCACAGAGGCCGATCTTGACACTGCTGGTACCAGTCATCAGCAAGTCCCACTCAGCTCCACAGCCTGCTGTACCACATCACTCCATCTCTTCTCTAGCCCATGCCACGCAAGTTTAGCCCCCTCGATCTGGCCAAACAAAAGCTGTTTAGACATGTGGTGGCTGGGCATGCGGGCTACATGACCCAGCCAACGCAGCCTTGCCTGTTGGAGGAGCTCACTGATCGGACTTTGTCCAGATCTTTCAAGGATTTGTGAGTTCCTCACACAATCCAGCCTGGTTAAACCCAGGATGGATCGTAGGCAGACCAGCCTAAATGTTTCTAGCCGGTGAAGATGTTCCATGAAGAGGGTCCACATTTCGCAAGTGGAGAGAAGGGAGGGAATGACTGTGGCCGAGAAGACCTGATGCTTCGTGCGGAGCGACAGACCAGGTAAACTTCCACATAGCGTTATGCAACCGATGAAAAGATAATGCCGCTCGACTGATTTGGAGCGAGACTTCTGCTGTCAAACCGGAGCCAGTCATGAGTACACTGCCCAAGTATGGAAAACTCTCCACTGTCTCCAAAACTGCCCCATTACCAATTTGGAGTTGTGGGGGTGGAGTGTCCGATGGTACAAAATATCCAGGCAGGTGCTTAGTTTTGGCAGGGCTGATGGTAAGGTCCCACCTCTTAGTGGCAAGCTTCAGGTTCAGCAGCAGCACCTCCAACCCCTCTGAGTGAACAGCAATTACCATATCATCGGCATACATAACATGGTTGAGCAATAGGGAGCCATCCCTTGACCACACCCGGGCATCGATCAGCTTCCCATTGTATCTGTACCAGGTGGAAATTCCTCCGGTACAGTAATTGAAGGCTTCACAAACTACATGGTCGAAATAGATGTGAAATAATGTAGGAGCCAGAGGACATCCCTGTCACACCCCAAGGTGTACAGGGAATGGCTCCGACTCCAGGCCACGTAGGTTTACCCGGGCCTGCTCACCATCATGAAGATCCTTAATCATCGTGAGCAGAGGGTCAGGGACTCCGAAAGCACCCCAGAGCCCAGGCCTACTGATTGTATCATAGGCCTTTACCAGGTCAATAAAGCAGAGATGTAGGTCTTGTTGGAATTCCCTACACTTCTGCTGTAACAGACGGACAAAAAATATGGCATCTGTGCAGGACTGCCCTTTCCTGAAAGCGCATTGGGGCTCCGCAAACCTCTCCTCCTAGCAAGGCGATGTTGAATAGTCCTTGCCAGTACCTTTCCCGGCACACTGAGGAGTGAGATGCCCCTGTAGTTGTTACAGTCTGTGCGGTCCCCCTTCTTAAAGAGGGGGACCACCAGGGCATCCTTCCCATCCTGCGGAACCCGTCCAGTGGTCCAAACTGTTGTTATGATGTCACCTCAGCCAGCCACTCACAGCAGGTGACTTCTTCTTCCAATATTTGTTACACCGCAGCCTCAGCAGGGTCATCCCCACTTTGTCCCACGCAGGCTGAGGGATTTCCCTTCCCCCAGGACCTCACAGAAATGCTCAGCAAATATGCAAACCTGTTCCTGGGGGTCAGAATGATGGTAATAGGTATGGCACTGCAGGTTACTTTTTTGATGGAGTTAAAGAGCGATTTGTGATCGTGGGCCATTGAGGCAGACTCCATCTCCTCAGCAACCAGTGACCACTACCCATCCTTGCAGCACCTCACGGCTCTCCGAACCTCCGAGCGAAGGCTGCGGTAAGCCTCCTTATTCTCCAACGTGGGATGCTGTAGCCAATGAGAGTGGGCCTGTCGCTTTTTCTCAGCCAGCCTGAACACCTCCTCTGTCAGCTAGGGTCTCTGGCGAGGTCTGGACCGTGTACGCAAAGCAGCCATTGCAGCTACATGAGCCACAGTCCTAAATCTCGCCCATTTCCCCTAGACATCAGGAGGAGTGGGGGGCGATGCCAACCCCAGCCGCAAGCGATGATGGAATTCTCACTTGCAACTTTCATAAGCTAGCTGAGACTAGGCCACTTTAGGTTGAAATGGGGTCCTGGGTGTACACCCACCACCGGTGTGGGAGAATGGCAGGTGCATCTTACAGATGACAAGTCGATGGTCAGTGGGCAGATCAGCTCCACGGTTAGGTCCTGGTGTCAAGGACATGGGCCCACATCCGCTGTTCCGTCACTATGTAGTCCAGCAGATGTTCTTGCTTAGACCCGGCATGCATCCATGATGTTGTGTGGATGCGCCGATGCCGGAACAGCGTGTTGGTAATTACAAGCCCATGGGGCTGCACAAAAATCTAGCAGCCTCCTACCGTTGTTATTGAGTTGATCTGGCCCATGCCCTCCAATCACTCCAGACCAGGTGCCAGCATCATGACCAACTCGGGCATTGAAGTCACCCAACAAGATGACTCTATCCCGAGAGGCCACTTTAGCTAGCACCTGTGACAGGAGGTCATAGAAGGCATCTGACTCATCGGCCTTGCCTGCATCCCTCCACGGATGTTCGTGTTCGGTTGGGGCATAAGTAACCACGACCACCACTCCTCACCTCTGGTTGATGGGAAGGTGAGCCCAAAGTAGCCTGGGGCTTACAGCTTCCCACACCTCACCGCCATGCTCCCACGCCCCCTTCCTTCTTTTGTTCAGAAGAAGAGCCACTCCCTGTTGTTTAGCAGTCTCCTGCCCCAAGTAGAGGACTGTCCACCCCTCATGGTGGCAGCAGCCAGAGCCGGTCCACCGGACCTCCGGAATACCACAGAGATCCAGGCGGTACCGGTTCAGCTCCCAACAGAGGAGTGGCAGCCTCTCCTCCGCAGTGAGCATTCCAACATTCCCCATGGCGACCCATAGTGTTTTTTTGTTGTTTCTGGAGGAGCCTTGATGGTAAGGATTCAGTCTCCTGGCTCCGCCAAATGGGGTTTGGCCAGGAGACGTCAAAGATGCCTGTCTCCCCAGGGCCTCCGGCACAAGCTTATTAATTACATTTTTCAGTCGTGGTTTTGTGGTAATTGATTGAAGGTGGAGGGGTTACCAGCCCCTTCACTGCCCTACACACAGCTGCCCGCACTCACCTACACTCCCCTACACACCCCTACACACCAACACCTGCACTCTGCCACACACTGACAGCTGCTGCACGCACCGGTCGATGGAGCGGATGAGCCAGGGGCGTGAGCCCAGGCTAGCCACGGTCTCATCCAGCAGTGGATGGGACTTGACAAACTGGAGCGTCTCCTCGGGGAACTCGGCAGAACTGCGGAATCCCCTCGCGCATGGGTCCCCTATGCAGCAGCCGGGCCTGGGGTGGGGGTCGGGGGGGAGGACAGAGGGAAGCCCAGCGGGTGAGTCCAGGTGTGTTCCAGATGGGTGGCAGGGTGAGCCTGCGTGAGCGCAGGTGAGCCCTGGAGTGTTCGCAGAGTGCAGGTGAGTCCAGGAGAGCTCACCTGGGCGTGGGAAGCTTCTCCTCCGGCACGGTCGTCCAGCCGTGGTCTCCGGACCTCGGCTCCTTGAAACGGCCGGAGAACACACGGGCAACCTCCTCCATGTGGAACGCACACACGGCCGAGCCGGTGATGCTGCATGCAGACACACACGTACGCACACACCAAAGACAAAGGTCCCCCGTATAGCCTGAATGGACTTCTGGGGCAAATGCTGAGGGAAGACCTACGAAGGCCGGCACGGCAACGAAGGGGTGGTGATGTTTACACACCACATCAGCTACTCATTCGAGGTTGAGCAGACCTAGCGGAAGCCCAGGACCAGTTCAGATAATCGTCACCGGTGTTGGCCAGAATCAAGAATCAATCTCGGGTCATTGGGTTCGTAGCGCAGCGTGCTAACCGCTGCACCACTGCTCCTCACGTGCACCAAAGACACCTGTGCGCCTATTCAAAGAGACGCTAGAGGGGGCCCCCGTCTGCTAGTACCCCGCTGTGGGCGGTGGGGAGGGTCCCACCTGTTTGCCGGGGTGGTGAAGACCCCGACGAGGAGGTGGGGGCCCCCCGCGGGCTGCATCCCAACGAGGGCGTGGAGCTCGGGGAAGGGGAAGGGGGGCTCCCCGGGCACGGCACAGGCAAGCGACGCCTTCACGAACGAGCTCCAGTGGCGGTGCAGCACGCGCGGCGAGCCCCCCGAGTCGCTCCGGCACACGCGCGCCACTCGTGACACCACCGCCTGCAAAGACACCGCGGTGACCCCGGTATACGGGAGGAATTGGAGTCTGCATGTCTCTCTCTCCCTGTGGCAGCATGGATTTTCCTGCGGCTCCTCAGGTACCCCCCTCCTTTGCATCCCAAATGCTGTTGCTGAATACCGCACCAAGTACTGGACTCATTTAAAGCTGAGTCGACCTTGGGGGGAACCCAGGACAAGTTCGGATATCAATCACCATTGCTGTCAGGTGTCCACTTGTGCTGTGGTAGGGCAGCATCGTCCCACTGTCAGATATCACCATGAGATATCATAATCGGATATCATGCTGTGTTGGTCGCACTGCTGGGATTATTATCGTCACCATTCCGCCTGGTTACCCAGGAAACTCAGTCTCGTGACTATCTCCTGTATACCAGGTGAAATGTTAACTCCCTCGCCTGGTATACAGGAGGTCGTAGGTTCGACCTTGGCCCCGATGCCTCTATATTTGGAGTTTCTGGTCTCTTCTCTCTCCACGATTGTTCTACGTGTCCTCCGGTTTCCCCCCCCCACATTTAAAATCAACATGTGGTTAGAGAATTTAGCTGGTATATATGTACAGTGAGGGAAAAAAGTATTTGATCCCCTGCTGATTTTGTACGTTTGCCCACTGACAAAGTAATGATCTGTCTATAATTTTAATGGTAGGTTTATTTGAACAGTGGGAGACAGAATAACAACAACAAAATCCAGAAAAACGCATGTCAAAATGCTATAAATTGATTTGCATTTTAATGAGGGAAATAAGTATTTGACCCCCTCTCAATCAGAAAGATTTCTGGCTCCCAGGTGTCTTTTATACAGGTAACGAGCTGAGATTAGGAGCACACTCTTAAAGGGAGTGCTCGCAATCTCAGCCTGTTACCTGTATAAAAGACACCTGTCCACAGAAGCAATCAATCAGATTCCAAACTCTCCACCATGGCCAAGACCAAAGAGCTCTCCAAGGATGTCAGGGACAAGATTGTAGACCTACACAAGGCTGGAATGTTCTTTGGTTCTTTCGGTAAAGGCACGTAGAATGAGAATAAAATAACACATTGATAAAATGAAATAACACAATAATATTCTCACAAAGTTTCGGCCTATCCTCCAGACAGTCTCGTCCCCTTCACCTGATGAAGGCCGCTTGTGTTGTGGCCGAAGCGTCGTGAGAATATTATTGTGTTATTTTATTTTATCAATGTATTATTTTATTCTCATTCTACGTGACTTTACCGAAAGAACCAAAGAAGATTAATCCTTGCAGTCACGAAAGCTATAAATCGAAATTTAAGGCTGGAATGGGCTACAAGACCATTGCCAAGCAGCTTGGTGAGAAGGTGACAACAGTTGGTGCGATTATTCGCAAATGGAAGAAACACAGAAGAACTGTCAATCTCCCTCGGCCTGGGGCTCCATGCAAGATCTCACCTCGTGGAGTTTCAATGATCATGAGAACGGTGAGGAATCAGCCCAGAACTACACGGGAGGATCTTGTCAATGATCTCAAGGCAGTTGGGACCATAGTCACCAAGAAAACAATTGGTAACACACTATGCCGTGAAGGACTGAAATCCTGCAGCACCCGCAAGGTCCCCCTGCTCAAGAAAGCATATATACATGCCCGTCTGAAGTTTGCCAATGAACATCTGAATGATTCAGAGGACAACTGGGTGAATGTGTTGTGGTCAGATGAGACCAAAATGGAGCTCTTTGGCATCAACTCAACTCGCCGTGTTTGGAGAAGGAGGACTGCTGCCTATGACCCCAAGAACACCATCCCCACCCTCAAACATGGAGGTGGAAACATTATGCTTTGGGGGTGTTTTTCTGCTAAGGGGACAGGACAACTTCACCGCATTAAAGGGACGATGGACGGGGCCATGTATACCGTCAAATCTTGGGTGAGAACCTCCTTCCCTCAGCCAGGGCATTGAAAAAGGGTCGTGGATGGGTATTCCAGCATGACAATGACCCAAAACACACGGCCAAGGCAACAAAGGAGTGGCTCAAGAAGAAGCACATTAAGGTCCTGGAGTGGCCTAGCCAGTCTCCAGACCTTAATCCTATAGAAAATCTGTAGAGGGAGCTGAAGGTTCGAGTTGCCAAACGTCAGCCTCGAAACCTTAATGACTTGGAGAAAACCTGCAAAGATGAGTGGGACAAAATCCCTCCTGAGATGTGTGCAAACCTGGTGGCCAACTACAAGAAACGTCTGACCTCTGTGATTGCCAACAAGGGTTTTGCCACCAAGTACTAAGTCATGTTTTGCAGAGGGGTCAAATACTTTTCGAGTTAAAGCTTTCGTGACTGCAAGGATTCATCTTCTTTGGTTCTTTCGGTAAAGTCACATAGAATGAGAATAAAATAATAAAATAATAAAATAAAATATGTGGCCGAAACGTCGTGAGAATTTCATTGTGTTATTTTATTGATTTATTATTTTATTCTCATTCTACGTGACTTTACCGAAAGAACCAAAGAAGAAGGGTCAAATACTTATTTCCCTCATTAAAATGCAAATCAATTTATAACATTTTTGACATGCGTTTTTCTGGATTTTGTTGTTGTTATTCTGTCTCTAACTGTTCAAATAAACCTACCATTAAAATTATAAACTGATCATTTCTTTGTCAGTAGGCAAACGTACAAAATCAGCAGGGGATCAAATACTTTTTTCCCTCACTGTACACATAAGCCACTTAGTTGAGCTGTCATTTGTGTCCAGGTCACTTGTGAAAAAGAGCTATATAGCTCAGTGGGCATAACCTGGTAAAATAGAAAGTTTAAAGTTTAAAGACGAATAACCCCTGTGCAGCCCACACAATCTGTTGGGGCAAGTGCTGTCAGTGAGTAGCAGCACCTAATGAAGGCTGGCACGGCACACAAGAGGATAAGGTGGCCAGCACCACACCCCAGGACCGAGTCAGATAATCGTCACTGATTTTGGGGGCCGAGCAGGAATCGAACTCGAATCGCTGGGTTCGTAACGCAGCACACTTCACGGCTGCGCCACCACTCCCCACAAGACACACACTCCTATTACCCCCCCCAACGCCCTCTGACCACCCCCTCACCGCACCACCCCAGCCGCCCCCTCACCGTCTCGTGAGCACCCATCTCCACCCCGAGCTCGCGGAAGAAGAAGAAGACGTGGGCTCCATGCTCCAGCACGTGGACAAAGTGTGGCTCTGTGCCACGCCACACCGCACACACAGAGACACCGCACCGTGGGACTCCGCGCCACACACCATGACACACCAAACACAAAAACACACACACCACACCACACACAAACACACACACCACACCACACACACAACACACCACACACACAAACACACACCACACCACACACAAACACACACACCACACCACACACAAACACACACACCACACCACACACAAACACACACACCACACACAAACACCACACCACACACAAACACACACACCACACCACACACAAACACACACACCACACCACACACAAACACCACACAAACACACACACCACACCACACAAACACACACACCACACCACACACGAACAAACACACCACACCACACACAAACACACACACCACACACAAACACACACACCACACACAAACACACACACCACACCACACACAAACACACACACCACACCACACACAAACACAACAACCGCCATTCGCCACTAAGTGGCGGTGACGTCACCACGACGCTTGTGCCAGGCTATGTGCACCCTGAGGCCACGTGAAGTGTCGAACGCCCGCTGGCAGGAGGTCACGGGGCAGACCCAGGTGCCACGGGTCGACTGACTGAGATGACTGGCTGATGCACCACCTGTGCCCCCTACTGTGCCAACCTGCTGTGCTTCAGCCACCCGGCGCTCCGCTCATTCTTGTGAGCGTCGCTCCTCCGCCCTCCGTTGTTGTTGGAGGGCGACTACCTCCAACTGCCCAGTAGCGTCCATCACGAGCCTCCTCCACAGAGGCCGATCTTGATACCGCTGGTACCAGTCATCGGCAAGTCCACTCAGCTCCACGTCCTCCTGTACCACATCACTCCATCTCTTCTCTAGCCCATGCCGCGCCCGTTTAGCCCCCTCAATCCGGCCAAACAAAAGCTGTTTTGGCATGCGGTGGCTGGGCATGCGGGCTACATGACCCAGCCATCGCAGCCTTGCCCGCCGGAGGAGCTCACCGATGGGACCTTGCCCAGATCTTTCAAGGATTTGTGAGCTCCTCACACAATCCAGTCTGGTTAAACCCAGGATGGATCGTAGGCAGGCCAGCCTAAATGTTTCTAACCGGCGAAGATGTTCCATTAGGGGGGTCCACGTTTCGCAAGCGTAGAGAAGGGAGGGAATGACCGTGGCCGAGAAGACCTGAAGCTTAGTGCGGAGCGACAGACCAGGTAGCTTCCACACAGCGTTACGCAACCGATGAAAAGATATTGCCGCTCGACTGATTCGGAGTGAGACCTCTGCTGTTAAACTGGAGCCAGTCATAAGCACATTGCCCAGGTATGGGAAACTCTCCACTCTCTCCACAACTGCCCCATCACCGATTGGGAGTTGTGGGGGTGGAGTGTCCGATGGTACAAAATACCCAGGCAGGTGCTTAGTTTTGGTGGTTCTGATGGTAAGGCCCCACCTCTTAGTGGCACGCTCCAGTCTCGGCAGCAGCGTCTCCAACTCCTCCTCTGAGTGAGCAGCTATTACCAAATCATCAGCATACATAACGTGGTTGAGCAATACGGAGCCATCCCTTGACCGCACCTGGGCATCGATCAGCCTCCCATTATATCTGTACCATATGGAGATTCCCCCGGTACAGCTATCGAAGGCTTCACGAACTACGTGGTTAAAATAGATGTTAAATAATGTGGGAGCCAGAGGACATCCCTGTCGCACCCCAAGGTGTACAGGGAATGGCTCTGACTCCCGGCCACGTAGTTTTACCCGGGCCCGCTCACCATAATGAAGGTCCTTAATGATCACACACGAACACACACACCACACCACACACACCACACACAAACACACACAGCACACCACACACAAACACACACACCACACCACACACAAACACACACCACACCACACACCACACCACACACACCACACACACACACCACACCACACACGAACACACACAGCACACCACACATAAACACACACACCACACCACACACGAACATACACACCACACCACACACACGGTGTGTGGCATTGTCGCTGTGCTGTGAGTGTTGTCGTTTCAGGCGGCATGTCTTGGTTTTTGTGTGCCGTGTTATGTATTGCAAGGTGCCGTGTTGTGCTGTGCCGTGGCACGTTGTGCTGTGTTGTGCCGCAGTGTGCCGTACTGCGTCATGCCCTGATGCGTTGTGCTGTGTTGTGGTGCGGTGTGTCACGGTGTGGCCGATGTTGTGTGCCGCGGTGTGGCTGGGCGCACCCTTGAGCCACCTGGAGTCGTGCTTCACGCTACGCAGCGTGGTGGTGGTGGTGGTGCTGGTGTTGGTGGTGGTAGTGCCATTGCCCAGGCTGCGGTAGAGAACGGCGTCGATCGCCAGGAAATCCGTGACCGTGCCCGAGTACAGGTGTCCGTCTACAACCACCACAACCATCACAACCACAATAACCACAACCACAATAACCACACCGTGCCCGAGTACAGGTGTCCGTCTACAACCACCACAACCATCACAACCACAATAAGCACAACCACCACAACCACAATAACCACACCGTGCCCGAGTACAGGTGTCCGTCTAAAACCACCACAACCATCACAACCACAATAACCACAACCACCACAACCACAATAACCACATCGTGCCCGAGTACAGGTGTCCGTCTACAACCACCACAACCATCACAACCACAATAACCACAACCACCACAACCACAATAACCACACCGTGCCCGAGTACAGGTGTCCGTCTACAACCACCACAACCATCACAACCACAATAACCACAACCACCACAACCACAATAACCACACCGTGCCCGAGTACAGGTGTCCGTCTACAACCACCACAACCACTACAACCACAATAACCACAACCACCACAACCACAATAACCACAACCACCACAACCACAACAACCACAACCACGACAACCACCAGGCTGCCCCCCCACCTCCCCCGGCCTCTCACCGGCAAACAGCGCCACGTTGCTGTGTGCGGGGTCGTACGGACACTTGGCCATCCCGCTCACATCGACCCCGCGCTGCTGCAGAGACCTCAGCTGGGGGTGGGGGGGGGGGGAGACCGTCACACACGTTGGTCTTGGTGTGTGTGTGTTGCGTGTGTGTTGGTGTATATGTTGGTGTGTGTGTGTTGGGGTATATTGGAGTTGGTGTGTTGGGGTATGTGTGTGTATAAAATATCTAACTAATAAGCTTGTGTCGGAGGCCCCGGGGGAACAGGCGTCTATGACGTCTCCTGGCCAAACCCCAATTGGCGGAGCCAGGAGATTGAATCTCTACCCTCGGGGCTCCTCCAGAAACATCGAAAAGCCACTTCGTGTGGCCAAGTGGAATGTTCGAATGCTCACTGCGGAGGAGAGGCTGCCACTCCTCTGTCAGGAGCTGGACCGGTACCGCCAGGATCTCTGTGGCATTCAGGAGGTCCGGTGGACCGGTTCTGGCTCCTGCCATCATGAGGGGTGGACAGTCCTCTACTCGGGGCAGCAGACTGCCAAACAACAGGGTGTGGCTCTTCTTATGAACAAAAGAATGAAGGGGGCGTGGGAGCGTGGCGGTGAGTTGTGGGAAGCTGTAAGCCCCAGGCTACTTTGGGCTCGCCTTCCCATTAATTGGAGGCGAGGAGTGGTAGTTGTGGTTACTTATGCCCCCAACGAAGACGAACATCCGTGGAGGGATGCAGGCAAAGCCGATGAGTCAGATGCCTTCTATGACCTCCTGTCACAGGTGCTGGCTAAAGTGGCCCCTCGGGATAGAGTCATCTTGTTGGGTGACTTCAATGCCCGAGTGGGTCATGATGCTGGCACCTGGTCTGGAGTGATTGGAGGGCATGGGCCAGATCAGCTCAATAACAACGGTAGGAGGCTGCTAGATTTTTGTGCAGCCCATGGGCTTGTAATTACCAACACGCTATTCCGGCATCGGCGCATCCACACAACATCATGGATACATGCCGGGTCCAAGCAAGAACATCTGCTGGACTACATAGTGACGGACCAGTGGATGCGAGCCCATGTCCTTGACACCAGGACCTACCGTGGAGCTGATCTGCCCTCTGACCATCGACTTGTCATCTGTAAGATGTGCCTGCCATTCTTCCGCTCCGGTGGTGGGTGTACACCCAGGACCCCATTCCAACCTAAAGTGGCCTGGTCTCAGTTATCTGATGAAAGTTGCAAGCGAGAATTCCATCATCGCCTGCGGCTGGGGTTGGCATCGTCCCCCACTCCTCCGGATGTCGAGGGTAAATGGGCAAGGTTTAGGACTGTCACTCATGCAGCTGCTTTGGATACGCGGTTCAGACCTCCACAGAGACCCTGGCTGACAGAGGAGGTGTTCAGGATAGTTGAGAAAAAGCGACAGGCCCACTGTCATTGGCTACAGAATCCCACTTCAGAGAATGAGGAGGCTTACCGTAGCCTTCGCTCGGAGGTTCGGAGAGCCGTGAGGCGCGGCAAGGATAGGTGGTGGTCGCGGGTTGCTGAGGAGATGGAGTCTGCCTCAGTGGCCCGCGATCACAAATCTCTATTTAACTCCATCAAAAAAGTAACCTGCAGCGCCACACCTATTACCATCATTAGGGGAAAAACGGTGATCCAATCTCCGACCCACAGGAACAGGTTTGCAGATTTGCTGAGCATTTCTGTGAGGTCCTGGGGGAGGGAAAATCCCTCAGCCAGGAAAACATCATGGCACAAAGTGAGGATGACCCTGCTGAAGCTGCGGTGCCTCAAATATTGGAAGAAGTCACCCCTCGTGAGTGGCTGGCTGAGGTGCCATCTGTTAAGGAAGTACTGAAGGCGATCCGGAGTCTGAGACCAGGAAAGGGAGCGGGCAGAGATGATCTCCCAAGCGAAATGCTGAGGGAGGGTGGCGTTTGTGCACAGATTGCCCTATATGACATCATAACAACAGTCTGGACCACTGGACGGGTTCAGCAGGATTGGAAGGATGCCCTGGTGGTCCCCCTCTTTAAGAAGGGGGATCGCACAGACTGTAACAACTACAGGGGCATCTCACTCCTCAGTATGCCGGGAAAGGTCCTGGCAAGGATTATTCAACATCGCCTTGCCAGGCATGCTGAGGAGAGGCTTGCGGAGCCCCAGTGCGGTTTCAGGAAAGGGCGGTCCTGCACAGATGCCATATTTTCTGTCCGTCTCCTACAGCAGAGGTGTAGGGAATTCCAGCAAGATCTACATCTCTGCTTTATTGACCTGGTCAAGGCCTATGATACCATCAATAGGCCTGGGCTCTGGGTTGTTCTTCGTGCTTTTGGAGTCGCTGACCCTCTGCTCACGATCATTAAGGACCTTCATGATGGTGAGCGGGCCCGGGTAAAACTACGTTGCCGGGAGTCAGAGCCATTCCCTGTACACCTTGGGGTGCGACAGGGATATCCTCTGGCTTCCACATTATTTAATATCTATTTTTACCACGTAGTTCGTGAAGCCTTCAATAGCTGTACCGGGGGAATCTCCATATGGTACAGATATAATGGGAGGCTGATCGATGCCCGGGTGCGGTCAAGGGATGGCTCCCTATTGCTCAACCACGTTATGTATGCCGATGATTTGGTAATAGCTGCTCATTCAGAGGAGGAGTTGGAGACACTGCTGCTGAGACTGGAGCGTGCCACTAAGAGATGGGGCCTTACCATCAGCCCCACCAAAACTAAGCACCTGCCTGGGTATTTCGTACCATCGGACACTCCACCCCCACAACTCCCAATCGGTGATGGGGCAGTTGTGGAGAGAGTGGAGATTTTCCCATACCTGGGCAGTGTGCTTATGACCGGCTCCAGTTTAACAGCAGAAGCTACCTGGTCTGTCGCTCCGCACTAAGCTTCAGGTCTTCTCGGCCAAGGTCATTCCCTCCCTTCTCTACGCTTGCGAAACGTGGACCCCCCTAATGGAACATCTTCGCCAGTTAGAAACATTTAGGCTGGCCTGCCTACGATCCATCCTGGGTTTACTCAGGCTGGATTGTGTGAGGAGCTCACAAATCCTTGAAAGATCTGGGCACGGTCCCATCGGTGAGCTCCTCCGGCAGGCTGCGTTGGCTGGGTCATGTAGTCCGCATGCCCAGCCACTGCATGCCAAAACAGCTTTTGTTCGGCCGGATTGAGGGGGCTAAACGGGCACGGCACGGGCTAGAGAAGAGATGGAGTGATGTGGTACAGGAGGACGTGGAGCTCAGTGGACTTGCCGATGACTGGTACCAGCGGTGTCAAGATCGGCCTCTTTGGAGGAGGCTCATGAAGGACGCTACTGGGCAGTTGGAGGCAGTCGCCCTCCAACAACAACGGAGGGCGGAGGAGCGACGCTCACAACAACGAGCGGAGCGCCGGGTGGCTAAAGCACAGCAGGTTGGCACAGTAGGGGGCACAGGTGGTGCATCAGCCAGTCATCTCAGTCAGTCGACCCGTGGCACCTGGGTCTGCCCTGTGACCTCCTGCCAGCGGGCGTTCGACACTTCACGTGGCCTCAAGGTGCACATGGCCTGGCACAAGCGTCGTGGTGACATCACCGCCACTTAGTGGCGAATGGCGGTTGTTGTTGTTGTGTTGGTGTGTGTGTGTTGGGGTGTGTGTGTTGGGGTGTGTATGTTGGTGTATGTGTTGGTGTGTGTGTTGATGTGTGGCGAGTGGTCGGGTAGTGGTTAGCGCGTTGCGCTATGAACCCGGCGATCTGGGTTCGATTCCCGCTCACGGCCAACACCAGTGACGATTATGTGAACCGGTTCTGGTCGACTCAGCCTCAAATTAGTACGTGGTGCGGTGTGTAAACATCGCCACTGGGGAGACAAAGACGGTCGGGCGTGTTGCTGGCCACCCACCCTCTCGTGTACCATTCCGGCCTTCATAGGTGCTCGCTAACAGCAGTTGCCCCTACAGTCTGCTAAGGCTATATGCGGGATTTGTCTTTGTTGGTGTGTGTGTTGGTGTGTGTTGGTGTGTGTTGGTATGTGTGTTGGTATGTGTGTTGGTATGTGCGTGTTAGGGTGTGTGTGTTAGGGTGTGTGTGTTAGGGTGTGTGTGTTAGGGTGTGTGTGTTAGTGGTGATAGGGCATTTGTGGAGAGAGTGGAGAGCTTCCCATACCTGGGCAGTGTACTCATGACCGGCTCCGGTTTGACAGCAGAGGTCTCACTTCGAATAAGGCGAGTGGCATTATCTTTTCATCGTTTGCTTAACGCTGTGTTGAAGCTACCTAGTCTGTCGCTGCGCACGAAGCTTCAAGTCTCCTCGGCCACAGTCATTCCCTCCCTACTTTATGCTTGCGAAACGTGGACCCCCCGAATGGAACATTTTCGCCGGTTTGAAACATTTAGGCTAGCCTGCCTACGATCCATCTTGGGTTTAACCAGTCTGGATTGTGTGAGGAGCTCACAAATCCTTGAAACATCTGGACAAAGACCCATCGGTCACCTCCTCCAGCAGGCAAGGCTGCGTTGGCTGGGTCATGTAGCCCGCATGTCCAGCCACCGCATGCCTAAACAGCTTTTGTTCGGCTGGATCGAGAGGGCTCAACGGGCGCGGCACGGGCTAGAGAAGAGATGGAGTGATGTGGTATAGGAGGACGTGGAGCTGAGTGGACTTGCCGATGACTGGTACCAGCGGTGTCAAGATCGGCCTCTGTGGAGGATGCTCGCGAAGGACGCTACTGGGAAGTTGGAGGCAGTCGCCCTCCAACAACAACGGAGGGCGGAGGAGCAATGCTCACAACAACGAGCGGAGCGCCGGTTGGCTAAAGGGCAGAAAGTTGCCACAGTAGGGGGCACAGGTGGTGCATCATGCAGTCATCTCAGTCAGTCAACCCGTGGCACCTGGGTCTGCCCCGTGACCTCCTGCCAGCGGGTGTTTGATACTACACGTGGCCTCAACGTGCACATGGCCTGGCACAAGCGTCGTGGTGACGTCACTGCCACTTAGTGGCAAATGGCGGTTGTTGTTGTGTTAGTGTATGTCGGTGTGTATGTTGGTGTGTGTGTATTGGGGTGTGTTGGTGTGTGTTGGTGTGTGTTGGGTGCGTGTGTGTTGGTGTGTTTTGGTGTGTGTTTTTGTTGGTGTGTGTGTTGGGGTGTGTGTTGGTGTGTGTGTGTTGGTGGGGGTCTTACCACAAGCCCCACCAAAACTAAGTACCTGCCTGGGTATTTTGTGCCCCCAAACACTTCACCCGCTCAGCTCCTCATTGGTGATGTAGCAGTTGTGGAGAGATTGGAGAGTTTCCCATACATGTGTAGGGGTGTTGCGGGAGGGAAACACAGTTACATAGCGGTGGCCACAAACACGTCCGCTACAGCCACCACCCTGGGGGGCTGCGGGTGGATGTTTCGATACCTCACAGCCCCGCCACTCGGTGGCAAATTGGTATAAAAGGCGGACAGCTCGAGGCAGTGTGTTGGGGAAGCCAAGAGCGAATAACCCTGACCCGCTGTCCTTCTGAGGGCCGGGCAGGGCAAGCCAGTGGTGCGGTCCCAGAGCCTTTCAAGGGCTGGTCTGTCTGGATGGATGCCGTGATCTGTGCCATGACCAAGGCCAGGTCAGATAGCCTCCTCCAGCGCCTGTAGCGGAGGACCTGGGAGTATAGTAGTTAGGCTGTTAGCCTAGAGGGTGTCCCAGTGTGAATACGGATGAAGGGGCCATTACCCCTTCTCAGTGTAACCCTGCCAAATTGAAATAAATAGTGCTGCCTCTACTACACCGTCTCTGTGTTCCGTGAACCCCCTACACATGGGCAGTGTGCTTATAACCACCTCCGGTTTGACAGCAGAGGTCTCACTCGAAATCAGTCAAGTGGCATTATTTTTAATTGGCTGCGTAATGCTGTGTGGAAGCTACCCGGTCTGTCATACCTTCCCTTCTCTATGCTTGTGAAACGTGGACCCCTCTAATGGAACATCTGCCCTGGTTAAAAACATTCAGGCTGGCATGCCTATGATCCATCCGGGGTTTAACCAGGCTGGATTGTGTGAGGAGCTCGCAAATCCTTGAAAGATCTGGACACATTCCCATCAGTGACCTCCTCCGGCAGGCAAGACTGCGTTGGCTGGGTCATGTAGCCCGCATGCCCAGCCAATCCAACGGCGGAGCCAGGATTTTCAGGTAGGGGGGGCAACCCCTCCAGCAATAAAAAATGTTCGGAGTTGTTAGTAAGTAAGGACTTGTCCCTTGCTTTTTATTCGACGCGTGTGCGTCGATGGCACAGCCATCGATCGAGGGTCGAATTTGAACCGTGCGTGATCGGCATCGTGCTTACTGAAGGTGTTGATGCCTTCAGGGAAGTCGTGGACTGTATACACAACTGCGCACAATTCTGTGAGTCACCTATAACTGCTTTCCCGTTACTCATTGACAATTATGGACTCAGACTATTGTCCTGTCATCTCATAGAGTCCCTGGCACGTAATAATATGCTACATAGTGGCAGTGGGGGTCGCAAAATGCCGATTTATTACTAATAAACCCAATGATCCGATGAAAATGAGGGATTTCGATCAGGTCATTGGGGTGCCACGTGCCACCCAACCCCCCACTGGCTCCGCCAGTGTGCCCAGCCACCGAATGCCCAAGCAGCTTCTGTTTGGCCGCATAGAGGGGGCTAAACGGGTACGAGATGGGCTGGAGAAGAGATGGAGTGATGCGGTACAGGAGGATATGGAGCTGAGTGGAATTGCCCACGGCTGATACCAGCGGTGTCAAGATCGGCCTGTGTGGAGGAGGCTCGTGAAGAACGCTACTGGGCAGTTGGAGGCATTTGCCCTCCACCAACAACGGAGGGCGCAGGAGCAATGCTCACAACAACGAGCGGAGCGTCGGGCAGGTAAAATGCAGTGAGTTGGCACAGTAGGTTGTACGGCTGGTGCATCTACCGATCATCTCAGTCAGCCAACCTATGGAACCTCGGTCTGTCACGAGACCTCATGTCAACGAGATTTTTGACACTTCATGAGGCCTCAAAGTGCGCCTGGCCTGGCACAGGCGCCGTGGTGACGTCACCGTCACTTGGTGGCGAATCGCGGGTGTTGGTATTGGTGTGTTGGTATGTGTGTTGGTGTGTGTGTTGGTGTGTGTGTTGGGATGTGTTGGTGAGTGGGGGGCAGTGGTTCATGCTCTTGCTATGAACCAGGAAATCCGAGTTCGATTACTGCTAATGGCCAACACCAGTGACGATTATCTGAACCAGTGCTGGGCCTCCCCTAGGTCGACTCAGGCTCAAATTCATACCTGGTGCGTTGTGTAAATATGTTCACTGGGGAGACAAAGGCGGCCGGGTGTGGTGCTGGCCACTCACCCCTTCATGTACTATTGCCAGCCTTCATAGGTGCTCGCTAACAAGCTACACAGGGGCTCTTCATCTTTGTTGGTGTGTGTGTTCGTTTATGTGTGGGGAGCGGTGTTGCTGCCGTGAGAGTGCTGGGCTGGGAATCCTCCCTTATCCGGTGAGAAACTCGGGGTCCTGGGGTAATCGTGGCCGCGAAGCCCCAGCGACCGCGAGGTCTGTCGCTTCAATGAATGGATGAGGGAATTATTGATGGCACGAATGACTGACGGGACGATGTACTCGTGGAAGGAATGAAGGAATGACCGGTGAATGAAAGTCACCTCATAGTCGCGACACGTGGGGTTGAAGGCGTTGGTGCCACAGATGAAGAGGGTGGCCCCCTGCCCATCCCCGCTCCTCGGGCGGAGCAGCAGCACCTTGATGTAGTTGAAGCAATCGCGCTGTGTAGAGGGGGGAGATTGGAGAGGCGGTGTGGGATTAGGGGGAGGGCGAAGGGTTGAAGTGGGGGGGAGCAGTTCGTGAGGTGACAGTTGGTCACGACCACGTGGTATCACACAGATACCCATAGACTCACACAGAGACTCATAGACTCACACAGAGACTCATAGACTCACACAGAGATTCATAGACTCATGCAAAGACTCAGACTCACGCAGAGACTCATAGACTCACGCCAAGAAATGTAGACACACGCCGAGACACGAAGACTCACGTAGATACCCACAGACTCACGCAGAGACTCATAGACTCACGCCAAGAAACGTAGACTCACGTAGATACCCAGACTCACACAGAGATCCATAGACTCACACAGAAACCCACAAACTCACACAGGGACGCATAGACTCACACAGTGACCCACAGACTCACACAGTGACCCATAGACTCACACAGCGACGCATAGACAAGGGGTCATTACTCTGCTGCTGGTATGGTCATTGTCCCTGGGGCTCCACTCGTTGAGGTCTCTCTCTCATCCAAGGCCGTAATTATAATATATATTTGGGGACACACATCCCCCCCAATATTCCAATATGCTCAAAATCTCCCCCCCAATATATTGCTATAAAAATGAAATAATTGCTATACTATGTAAATAAAAAGAAACAATTTACTAAACCTTGGCCACAATATCTGAACTTGTCTTCATATAAATGAATGCATAGATTTCTGTTTATATTATTGTGGTTATGGTTGTACTTTATGAATCCCTAATCTCTGCCATTACATACAATGAAACAAGAAGTGGTAAAAAAGTTAAAACAGAGCAATGTAATACAATACACTATTAGACATTGTAAAAAAATAATTTAAAAAACTCCATCACAACTGTTAGTTATTTTTTGAATATTTTAGGCAGGAAATTAGTTATCAAATGTAGATATTTTTTCTGGGTTGGGACCCCCAGACACCCTGGAAGATTTGGTCCCCCCCAATGTTGACTCCATGGCTACGGCCTTGGTCTCACCACACTCTCACCACACTCTCACCACACTCTCACCACACTCTCACCACACTCTCACCACACTCTCACCACACTCTCACCACACTCTCTCTGCTCACCGCTCTCTTCCCCTTCCACGCGCACGGTCGCTGCTCGTCGATGCTTGCTCTCCATACGAGTCTCTGTGTGACACGGGGAGGACGTGTTGAGACCCACACCCTCACACCCTCACTCACACACTCAGTCACTGGCGGAGCCAGTGCGGGGGGGGGGGGTGGCACGTGCCCACCAAATTATCCGATCGAATTCCCTCATTTCGATCAGCATTTTGCGACCCCCACTGCCACTGTGTAGCATATTATTATTATGTGCCAGGGACTCTATGAGATGATAGGACAATAGTCTGAGTCCATAATTGGCAATAAGTAACGGCAAAGCAGTTATAAGTGACTCACATAATTGTGCGCAGTTGCGTATAGAGTCCACGACTTTTCCTGAAGGCATCAACACCTTCAGCGAGCGCGATGCCGATTACGCGCGGTTCGAATTCGACCCTCGATCGATGGCTGCGCCATCGCCGCACACGCGTCGAGTAAAAAGCAAGGAACAAGTCCTTACTAACAACTCTTTACTCACTAACTACTTACTAACAACTACTTACCAACAACTACTTACTAACAACTACTTACTAACAACTACTTACTAACAGCTATACTCACTAACAAGTCCTTACTCACTAACAGCTCCTTACTAACAACTCCTTACCAACAACTCCTTACTAATAACTCCTTACTCGCTAACAACTCCTTACTTGCTAACAACTCCTTACTTGCTAACAACTCCTTGCTTACCAACAACTCCTTACTTACCAACAACTCCTTACTCACAAGTAACTCCTTACTAACAACTCCTTACTTACTAACTCCTAACTCACTAACAACTCCTTACTTACTAACAACTCCTTACTTTCTAACAACCCCTTACTAACAACTCCTTACTCACTAGCAACTCCTTACTAACAACTCCTTACTCACTAACAACTCCTTACTAACAACTCCTTGCTTACTAACAACTCCTTACTAACAATTCCTTACTAACAACTCCTTACTAACAACTCCTCATTACCAACTCCTCACTAACAACTCCTCACTAACAACTCCTTACTCACTAACAACTCCTTACTCCCCAACAATTCCTTACTACCAACTCCTTACTAACAACTCCTTACTCACCAACAACTCCTTACTAACAACTCCTTACTTACTAACAACTCCCTACTAACAACTCCTTACTAACAACTCCTTACTTACTAACAACTCCTTACTTACTAACAACGTCTTACTTATTCTTAGTTTTTTCCGTTAAAGTCACGTTGAAGAGAAACAACAAAATAACAAAATATATATAAAACAATAAAAAATTCTCACGACGTTTCGACCATAACTCAAACGGTCATCATCAGGTGATATATATTTTGTTATTTTGTTGTTTCTCTTCAACGTGACTTTACCGAAAAAACTAAGAATATGAATTACTGCAGTCACGAAAGCTTTAAATCAAAACGTCTTACTTATTAACAACTCCTCACTAACAACTCCTTACTTACTAGCAACTCCTTACTTACTAGCAACTCCTTACTTACTAGCAACTCCTTACTTACTAACACGTCCTTACTAACAAGTCCTCACTAACAACTCCTGACTAACAACTCCTAACTAACAACTCCTTACCAACAACTCCTTACTAACAAGTCCTCACTAACAAGTCCTTACTAACAAGTCCTCACTAACAAGTCCTCACTAACAACTCCTTACTAACAACTTCTTACTAACTAACAACTCCTTACTAACAACTCCTTACTAACAACTCCTTACTTACTAACAACTCCTCACTAACAGCTCCTTGCTTACTAACAACTCCTTACTTACTAACAACTCCCTGCTTACTAACAACTCCTTACTTACTAACAACTCCCTGCTTACTAACAACTCCTTACTAGCATCTCCTTACTAACAACTCCTTACTTACCAGCAACTCCTTACTTGCTGACAACCCCTTGCTTACTAACAACTCCTTACTAACAACTCCTTACTTACTAACAACTCCGTACTAACAACTCCTTACTCACTAACAACTCTTTACTCACTAACAACTCCTTACTCACTAACAACTCCTTACTTACTAACAACTTCTTACTTACTAACAACTCCGTACTAACAACTCCTTACTAACAACTTCTTACTTACTAACAACTCCGTACCAACAACTCCTTACTAACAACTTCTTACTTACTAACAACTCCTTACTAACAACTCCTTACTAACAACTCTATCATTTTTCATTGCTGGAGAGGTTACCCCCCCCCCCCCCGACCTGAAAATGGTGGCTCCGTCATTGCACTCACTCATTCACACTCTCACTCATTCACTCTCACTCATTCACACTCTCACTCATTCACACTCTCACTCTCACTCATTCACACTCTCACTCATTCACACACTCACTCATTCACACTCTCACTCATTCACACTTGCACGCTCACTCACTCACTCGCACGCTCACTCACTCGCACGCTCACTCGCCCTCTCACTCACTCACACTTTCTCTCACACTCACTCCATCACTCCAAGAACTCCCCAGCACTCTCACACGCTCATGAACACATGAACCCCCCTGTCCCCCCTGTCCCACCCCCTCCTGCTCACCCCCCTGCTCACACCCCCCGCCCCTCCCCTCACTTTGCTGAACCCGATTTCTGCTCCGTGCCGCGCGTCCAGATCCAGGCTGTACACGTGATCCCTGTGAGACACAACCAGGTGAAAACAACCACGTGATCTCAACCAGGTGAACACAACCAGGTGAACACAACCACGTGAACGCGAACACGTGATCTCAACCAGGTGAACACAACCAGGTGATCTCAACCAGGTGAACACGACCAGGTGATCTCAACCAGGTGAACACAACCAGGTGAACACGACCAGGTGAACACGACCAGGTGATCTCAACCAGGTGAACACGACCAGGTGAACACAACCACGTGATCTCAACCAGGTGAACACGACCAGGTGAACACGACCAGGTGAACACGACCACGATCTCAACCAGGTGAACACAACCAGGTGAAAACAACCACGTGATCTCAACCAGGTGAACACAACCAGGTGAACACAACCACGTGATCTCAACCAGGTGAACACAACCAGGTGAAAACAACCACGTGATCTCAACCAGGTGAACACAACCAGGTGAACACAACCACGTGATCTCAACCAGGTGAACACAACCAGGTGAACACGGCCAGGTGAACACGACCACGATCTCAACCAGGTGAACACAACCAGGTGAACACAACCACGTGATCTCAACCAGGTGAACACAACCAGGTGAACACGGCCAGGTGAACACGGCCAGGTGAACACGATCTCAACCAGGTGAACACAACCAGGTGAACACAACCACGTGATCTCAACCAGGTGAACACGACCAGGTGAACACAACCACGTGATCTCAACCAGGTGAACACGACCAGGTGAACACAACCACGTGAACACAACCAGATGAGCACAAAACAGGTAATTTGAGGATGAAAGGAGACGAAGCACGTGGAGATGGCACCTTGAGATGGACAGAGGGGCGGGGCTGTGCGGAGGTGTGAAGGGCGGGGCTAGGGGGGCGGTGCTTTATGGGGGTGTGAGGGGCGGGGCTCTGTGGGGGGAAGAGGGGCGGGGCTCGGGTCCCCACCTGCCGCCCAGGAGGAGCTCCCTCCCCACCTGCGCCATCAGCTGCAAGTGAAGCGAGGGGGGAGCGCCGCCCCCCTCCGGGGTCGACACCCCCGGGGCTGGGCCCCCCACGAACACCGGGTACCGCGCCGTGTCTGCGCAGTACACACACAGCACACACACAGCACACACACACAGTATACACACAGTACACATTGCACACACACACGCAGTACACACACACACAGTATACACATAGTACACATTGCACACACACACAGTACACACACACACAGTATACACACAGTACACATTGCACACACACACACAGTATACACACAGTACACATTGCACACACACACAGTACACGCGCAGTACAAACACAGAGTACACACACAGTACACATTGCACACACACACAGTACACACACAGTACACACACAGTACACACACAGTACACACAGTACACATTGTACACACACAGAACACACACACACAGTACACACACCACACACACAGTACACACACACAGTACACACACAGTACACACACAGTACACACACACACAGTACACACACAGTACACACACAGTAAACACAGTACACATTGCATACACACACAGTACACACACACAGTACACACACACAGTACACACACCACACACACAGTACACACACACAGTACACACACCACACACACAGTACACACACACAGTATACACACACCACATACCCAGTAAACACACACACAGTACACACAGTAAACACACAACAACAACCGCCATTCGCCACTAAGTGGCGGTGACGTCACCACGACGCTTGTGCCAGGCCATGTGCACCTTGAGGCCACGTGAAGTGTCGAACGCCCGCTGGCAGGAGGTCACGGGGCAGACCCAAGTGCCACGGGTCGACTGACTAAGATGACTGAGATGACTGGCTGATGCACCACCTGTGCCCCCCTACTGTGCTAACCTGCTGTGCTTTAGCCACCCGGCGCTCCGCTCGTTGTTCTGAGCGTCGCTCCTCTGCCCTCCGTTGTTGTTGGAGGGCGACCGCCTCCAACTGCCCAGTAGCATCCTTCACGAGCCTCCTCCACAGAGGCCGATCTTGACACCGCTGGTACCAGTCATCAGCAAGTCCACTTAGCTCCACGTCCTCCTGTACCACATCACTCCATCTCTTCTCTAACCCGTGCCGCACACCCCGTTTAGCCCCCTCGATCCGGCCGAACAAATGCTGTTTCGGCATGCGGTGGCTGGGCATGCGGGCTACATGACCCAGCCAACGCAGCCTTGCCTGCCGGAAGAGCTCACGCAAGCATAGAGAAGGGAGGGAATGACCATGGCTGAGAAGACCTGAAGCTTAGTGCGGAGCGACAGACCAGGTAGCTTCCACACAGCGTTACGCAACCGATGAAAAGATATTGCCGCTCGACTGATTCGGAGTGAGACCTTTGCTGTTAAACTGGAGCCAGTCATAAGCACACTGCCCAGGTATGGAAAACTCTCCACTCTCTCCACAACTGCCCCATCACTGATTGCGAGTTGTGGGGGTGGAGTGTCCGATGGTACAAAATACCCAGGCAGGTGCTTAGTTTTGGTGGGGCTGATGGTAAGGCCCCATCTCTTAGTGGCACGCTCCAGTCTCAGCAGCAGCATCTCCAACTCCTCCTCTGAATGAGCAGCTATTACCAAATCATCGGCACACGTAACGTGGTTGAGCAATAGGGAGCCATCCCTTGACCGCACCCGAGCATCGATCAGCCTCCCATTATATCTGTACCAAATGGAGATTCCCTCGGTACAGCTATTGAAGGCCTCACTAACTACATGGTCAAAATAGATGTTAAATAATGTGGGAGCCAGAGGACATCCCTGTCGCACCCCAAGGTGTACAGGGAATAGCTCTGACTCCCGGCCACGTAGTTTTACCCGGGCCCGCTCACCATCATGAAGGTCCTTAATGATCGTGAGCAGAGGGTCAGGGACTCCAAAAGCACGAAGAACAACCCAGAGCCCAGGCCTACTGATGGTATCATAGGCCTTGACCAGGTCAATAAAGCAGAGATGTAGGTCTTGTTGGAATTCCCTACACCTCTGCTGTAGCAGACGGACAGAAAATATGGCATCTGTGTAGGACCGCCCTTTCCTGAAACCGCATTGGGGCTCCGCAAGCCTCTCCTCAGCGCGCCTGGCAAGGCGATGTTGAATAATCCTGACCAGGACCTTTCCCGGCACACTGAGGAGTGAGATGCTCCTGTAGTTCTTACAGTCTGTGCGGTCCCCCTTCTTAAAGAGGGGGACCACCAGGGCATCCTTCCAATCCTGCGGAACCCGTCCAGTGGTCCAAACTGTTGTTATGTCATGTAGGGAAGTTTGTGCACACACGCCACCCTCCCTCAGCATTTCGCTTGGGAGATCATCTCTGCCAGGTGCCATTCCTGGTCTCAGAATCCGGATCGCCTTCAGTACTTCCTCAACAGATGGCACCTCAGCAAACCACTCACAGGGGGTGACTTCTTCTTCCAATATTTGAGACACCGCAGCCTCAGCAGGGTCATCCCCACTTTGTCCCACGTTGTTTTCCAGGCTGAGGGATTTCCCTTCCCCCAGGACCTCACCGAAATGTTCAGCAAATATGCAAACCTGTTCCTGCGGGTCGGAGATTGGATCACCGTTCTTTCCCCTAATAATGGTAATAGGTATGGCACTGCAGGTTACTTTTTGATGGAGTTAAAGAGCGATTTGTGATCGCGGGCCATTGAGGCAGACTTCATCTCCTCAGCAACCAGCGACCACCACCCATTTTTGCAGCACCTCACGGCTCTCCGAACCTCCGAGCGAAGGCTGCGGTAAGCCTCCTCATTCTCTGACGTGGGATTTTGTAGCCAATGACAGTGGGCCTGTCGCTTTTTCTCAGCCAGCCTGAACACCTCCTCTGTCGGCCAGAGTCTCTGGGGAGGTCTGGACCGTGTAACCAAAGCAGCCATTGCAGCTGCATGAGTCACAGTCCTAAACCTCGCCCATTTCCCCTCAACATCAAGAGGAGGGGGGGGCGAGGCCAACCCCAGCCGCAAGCAATGATGGAATTCTCACTTGCAACTTTCATAAGCTAGCTGAGACTAGGCCACTTTAGGTTGGAATGGGGTCCTGGGTGTACACCCACCACCGGAGTGGAAGAATGGCAGGTGCATCTTACAGATGACTAGTCAATGGTCAGAGGGCAGATCAGCTCCACGGTAGGTCCTGGTGTCAAGGACATGGGCTCGCATCCGCTGTTCCGTCACTATGTAGTCCAGCAGATGTTTTTGCTTAGACTCGGCATGCATCCATGATGTTGTGTGGATGCACCGATGCCGGAACAGCGTGATGGTAATTACAAGCCCATGGGCTGCACAAAAATCTAGCAGCCTCCTGCCGTTGGTATTTAACTGATCTGGCCCATGCCTTACAATCACTCCAGACCAGGTGCTAGCATCATGACCAACTCGGGCATTGAAGTAACCCAACAAGATGACTATCCCGAGGGGCCGCTTTAGCTAGCACCTGTGACAGGCAGTCATAGAAGGCATCTGACTCATCGGCCTTGCCTGCATCCCTCCACGGATGTTCGTCTTCGGTTGGGGCATAAGTAACCACGACCACCACTCCTCACCTCTGGCTGATGGAAAGGTGAGCCCAAAGTAGCCTGGGGCTTACAGCTTCCCCCACTTCACCGCCATGCTCCCACGCCCCCTTCATTCTTTTGTTCATAAGAAGAGCCACACCCTGTTTTTTGGCAGTCTGCTGCCCCGAGTAGAGGACTGTCCAACCCTCATGGTGGCAGCAGACAGAGCCGGTCCACCGGACCTCCGGAATACCACAGAGATCCAGGCGGTACCGGTCCAGCTCCCAACAGACGATTGGCAGACTCTCCTCCGCAGTGAGCGTTCGAACATTCCCCATGGCCACCCGTAGTGTTTTTTTGTTGTTTCTGGAGGAGCTCCGAGGGTAATGATTCAGTCTCCTGGCTCTGCCAAATGGGGTATGGCCAGGAGACGTCAAAGACGCCTGTCCCCCCAGGGCCTCCGGCACAAGCTTATTAATTTAATTTTTCAGTCGTGGTTTTGTGGTAATTAATTGAAGGTGGAGGGGTTACCCGCCCCTCGCACCCATCCAGAGCCCCCGTTTAGCCCCTGTGGTGGTCACAGACGCCATGAGACGAGGAGCCGATGGGAATTGGCCCTCCCCCCACAGCACTGTCCACGACAGAGTTCCCCGTCCGGCACCGCGAGGAGGTAGGGGGGTTGTTTTGCATGGACAGTACACACACAGTACACACAGTACGCACACACAGTACACACACCACGCTGTACATGTGGTGGAGGTCACCACTCACACCGAAGCTCCACCAGGAGATGGGCTCCACGTCGCGGGGGAAGGAGCCCCTCCCTCACCCCCCGCGGGGCAGCAGCAGCAGCAGCGCGCCCTGCCGGCAGCAGCCGCAGGAGGAGGGGGGGGGCGAGACCCCCCATCGAGTCCACCGGCACCTGCAGGAAACAACTCAAAATTACTCACCCACACACTCACCATCACTCACCTTACTCACCCACGACACTCACCATCACATCACTCACCATTACTCACCATTACTCACCCACACACTCACCATCACTCACCATTGCTCACCTACACACTCACCATCACTCACCATTACTCACACACTCACCACCATTACTCACCCACACACTCACCATCACTCACCATTACTCACCATTACTCACCCACACACTCACCATCACTCACCATTGCTCACCTACACACTCACCATCACTCACCATTACTCACACACTCACCATTACTCAACATTACTCACCCACACACTCAACATTACTCACCCACACACTCACCATTACTCACCCACACACTCACCATTACTCACCCACACAACTCACCATTACTCACCATTACTCACCCACACACTCACCATTACTCAACATTACTCACACACTCACCATTACTCAACATTACTCACCCACACACTCACCATTACTCACCATTACTCACTCACACACTCACCATTACTCACCATTACTCACCTACACACTCACCATTACTCACCATTACTCACCCACACACCTCATCATTACTCAACCATTACTCACCCACACACTCAACATTACTCACCCACACACTCACCA